ACCTCAGCATTTTTGGCAGAGGCAAAGGCGATGGTCCATGCGGTGGAACTAGCGGCTGAGTTGGGTTTCCCGAACTTAGTAGTTGAGGGCGACACTCGAACAATGGTGGAGAAACTCTGTTCTGGTAAACCAGATCAATCTGAGATCAGTGCTTTGGTGTGGGAGGTGAAACAGAAAGCAAAAACCTTTCAAAGATGCAGATTCAGTTACATACCTCATTATGGAAAAACAGCGGCTCATTTGTTGGCGGTTGAGTCAGACTCGGGACCGAGCGACAGATATTGGATAGAAGAAGCTCCCCTGGTGGTTCAGAGACAAGTAGATGAAGATAGAAGGTGGACCGACCCCCTTGATGGCTTTCGTGGGGGTTTTGATGCTGGGCTTCATGCTTCATGCTTCATGCTTCATGCTTCATGTTTCATGCTTCATGTTTCATGCTTCATGCTTGCTTTCTCGTTTCCTTGCTTTGGACATTCAAATCGTTTTTTTTGGGGGGGGGGGTGATGCAAGGAAAATGATCGGCCAGTGATTAGTTCTCCAGAGTTTTCTTTTCTACTTTGGTGTTCTCACCTGTTATTTTTATTGCTTTAATTTTCGACAGTTGTGCTCCACTTGCTTTTGTTGGTTCGTGGAGTGTTTTAATTTTTGGACATTTGTTTTGTTTGCTCTTCTTAATAAAGATGGCCGCTTATGTTCAAAAAATATATATATACCATATGTAGTCTATCACAAACAAAATAATCTGCTTGGATCAATGGTTGGAAGGTTTGATTCCCACACTCCCTTATTTTAATAGTTTTAATTTTATTTCCCTCAAAGGGTGACACGCGCTATCTTATTATTGATGAAAAATAAATCTATTAAATTAAAATAAATTATATCCTTTAGTCGGGTGGCAACGTGTGCCATGATATTTAGTACTAGTGACACGTGACATGATCTAATTTGAAAATTAAATTAATTTTAATATATTAAAATTAGAACCAAATTGATAGAATATATAAGTAGCAGTGACCAAATGTGTAATTATATAAATTTTATTAATTGTCACCTCAGCACTTCCGTTAAATGTTAACGGCAAGTGACCTGATTGAATGACTTTAAATAGTCGGGTGACCTCATTGATAAAAAATTTAAAAATGATGGTCAAAATAAAAATGGATTATAGTTAGATGGTCATTGGTATAGTTTACCCTTAATTATTTTGTATGGTTATAGTGAATATATTTTAATTATAAATTTGATCGTGTTTTATAACTATAATAAATATTTATCATATATAGTTATAATTGATAGGATATTTATAATTATATTTACAAGTTTTAAAAAGAAAATCGAATATCATGAATGATAATAATCAATGAAATGAGAGAAATGGGTAATTAATCATCATCTTCATTGCATGATTTAGCTATATTTTTGGGACCCAATAAAAGATGGCGTATAGATCTCTTATCCACACACAATTGTGGCAGATGCAGACGTTGCATATAATGGGCCATGGATGCACACGAATCGACTCCATCAACTTGTTTTCACCCGTCTGATCAGCCAGATGATACCCTTTTCTTGTCGACCAGACGATATCAGTCGTCGATCCCGAGCTTTAATCTCCTGCATGGGACCCTTTCAGAAAAATACAGTCGTGATTTGCCCTGCCGCCAATAATCAAATGCTTTGCAAGTAATTGGTCAAATTGTGCAAGAGGCAAAAACAATGTTTTCAAAATCGGACCGAACATTGAACCGATGAAGGTACTGGTTCACTGATTCAACCGGGTTCAACAGCGGTTGACCCGGATTTTATATAAAATAATTTTTTTTTTAATTTTACATAATATTCAAAGCAATATTAATATATCTGTAACACTTTTTTAAGTTTACAATATTAAAATGTATAAAAATATCACAAGTCATAACATGTATAAATGAAAAACCATAAAATCAAGTGAAACAAAATGATTTAAATCAACTACAACATAATATTTAAGGTAAAACATATTAAATAAAAAATATAATTATATAACTATAATCAAAAAAAATAAAATTAGGGTTTAAAAAAATCATAACAAATGATGTTTTTTAGTTTAATTGTTTTAAAAAAAAAACAATCCCACATGGCTAAGAAACATAGAAGAGTATCCCAAAAGTTTAAAGAGTAAAAATATGAGAACAAAACAATCTCACATGGCTAAGAAACATAGAAGAGCATCCCAACTTACTTCTATAAATAATAGAGGTAATTTGACATTCAAAATCATGGAGCCTTTTGGTGAGCACAAAGCGAACTATTCTTTCGCTTCAATTGAGCTCAAATTTTAGGCTTCAATTGAGCTCAAATTTTAGGCTTTAATCGAACTTCTAAATTTTTTTTTGAGTTCGAGCCTTTTCGATTTCAAGTTTTAATATTATATTTCGAGTTGATAATTTTTAGCTCGTGAGTTTTTTAGTCGAGTTGAGCTTACTTTTAAAGTTTTTGAGTTCGAGTCGAGCTCAGCAATACTCGAATTTGACTCGGCTCGTTGAACAAACGACGTTGTTTGGTTTAATTTTTTTAAGAAAAAAGTGAATCGGCGGTTCAAACCGGTTTTGTCGGTTTAAAGCCGATTCACCCCGATTTTCAGCTGGTTTTTCCGGTTCTTTATCGGTTCTGTACTAATCCGGTTTTGAGAGTTAACCGGACCGGACAGGCCACCGGTTCACGGTTCAACCGGTCGAACTGACCGATCCGATCCGATTTTAATAACATTACGAAAAAAGGTTGGTCCGTGGATCGAAAATATACCTTTACAAAACAATAAATTTAGTGAAATTATAGTAGAAAACGAAGGCTATAGCGGTTTATAGGCAAAAGTTCCCATATAATGTTATAGGGCAACCGCGGCAAAAGTATGATACTGAAAATTTTATTTGGCTGATTTGATAAAAAAAATACAAAATTACTTAGATATCCATGTGTTGAGAGCGTATTTATAGTCGAGAGAAAAGTTTAAAAGTCGAGAAATCCGAATATAATTATTCAAGGACCATTTTCTATTTTATAACTGTGAAAAAATAAAATAATTAAATAAAATAATAAAAAAATTAAATAATACAATAATTAAATAAAATACTAACAAAATATGATTAATTTTATAAAAAGTATTTAAAATTTTGCTTGATCTGTAAAATATTCTTAAACAGTGTCTAACAAGTAATTAATTTATGTTAAGGTGATATTTGTGTAAAAAGGCCAAATTTTTTCATGGATTTCAACTAAAGACGCCTAGAGATCCAAGCAAGAGTAAAAAAAATCTGGTCCACCCTGAAGACGCCGAGAGATCCCAAATCTACCGTAGAAAATACAAACAATCCAACATCCTGAAGACGCCGGTAGATCCCACCAAAAAATCTGGTTAACCCACGCCGAGAGATCCCAAATCTACTGTAGAAAACACCCCATTTTGGAGAATTAATCGGATGAACACTTTAGTTTGGGAATTAAACACTCCCTATAACATTATATAGAAACTTTTGCCGCGGTTTATGTATGATACTGAAAATTTTATTTGGCTGATTTGATAAAAAAAAATACAAAACTACGTAGTCATCTTTAGCAGTACGTATGAACATACGTGTATATATGCATGTATGAAGAAGATAACAAGTTTTGCTCTGTTTCTGGATTCTGGTCGTTGCCCTGTGAGGCAAGCATTTTTACATAAAAGGGAAAATGTGTTGGTGCAAGCTAAATCTATACCGTTGAATGGAACTCATCAGAGAATTTGTTAATTTCTAAACATGAACAAATCATAATCGTTCTTTATAGGGTAACGATGAAGCTTTTGAAAGTGATGATGATCTAGAAGAATTACCAGGAAAAGGAGAGTGTCCCACCATCCCTGCAAAAGCATCATTTCTCAAAGACTTTTGATGAGACACATGCAACTCGTGTTATTAACTCAACTATGAAAAAAAATCGAAATAAATAAAGAGGTGGGGAAGGGAAGAAGGGTCGACAGAGAGAAACTATGAACACTTACTGAATGCGACTTTTCTTTCTTCAAGTTCAAACCTCCTCTTATATTGTAATTCAAACAAACCCTCTGTTATTCTTCTTTTTATACATTGTTTGATTCCTGACAATTTCACCTAGGAATCAGTGAAGGGTCTGGTCTCAAGTCTTTTAACTCATTGTAATTTGGTCGGTTTCGAAATGGGGAGGCACTCATGCTGTTACAAGCAGAAGCTGAGAAAAAGATCTTTGGTCCCCTGAAGAAGACGAAAAGCTCTTAGCGTATATTACCAAGTACGGCCATGGTTGCTGGAGTTCCATCCCTAAACAAGCTGGTATTTTTCTTATGCAATTATAGGCATGTATTGATGAACTGCTGCTAAAATATGAACAATTTTGCAGGTCTGCAGAGGTGTGGAAGGAGTTGCAAATTAAGGTGGATCAATTACTTGAGGCCTGATTTAAAGAGAGGCACATTCTCTCAAGAAGAAGAAGATCTCATAATTGAACTTCATGCAGTACTGGGGAATCGGTATAATTATTATTATTAGTGTTTTTTTCTCTTTTTGATTGATTAACTCTGTAAGAATTGTCTTCATCTTCTTCAGGTCGTCCCAAATACCTGGACAATTGCCTGGGAGAACCGACAATGAAATCAAGAATCTATGGACTTGCTTGAAGAAGAAGTTTAAGCAGAGAGGAATCGACCCTGTCACGCACAAGCCATTATCAGAGGTTGAAGATGGTGAAGACGGCAACAAGATTCAACCCACATCTAATGAACAGAACCTTGTTTGTTCCTACACAATCGAGTGGGTCATTTTCAAATGCAGCCATCTAACTCGAACCCGACTCACTGGTTCACCCAAACCAGCAAAGCTTTCGGTACCGACACCGAGTTTTCTTCGAACTCGATGATGTCAACCCTTCTCCCACCATTGACAAGCGCATTCATCTCCGACAGTCCTTCAATGGCGGTAACCCACGCATCCTGCTTTGGGAACAGCGGTTTCTCTTGGGGATTAATGGAAAACCAAGCGGAAGAACCCAAATGGAGTGAATATCTCAATAACCCTTTGCTAATGGTGGCTGCTTTGCAAAATCAAACGCCACAATCTTTGTACAACATGGAGATAAAATCAGAACCATATTTCTTGAATTCATCGTCATCGTCAAGCACTGTGTGGGGTCAAAGCCAAAATCATGAGCAGCCTTTACAAAATCCCGATATGTGTGGTAAGGATATCCAGAGACTCACGGCTGCGTTTGGGCGTGTTTAGCTCTTTCATCCATCAGCCTCTTCTATTTGTTGTTGTTTTTAGTGTCTTTTACTTTGCCTTGTTGCAACATGACCATCGTTGTGCATTGAAATGTTGGAATTCTATTTGTTGATCCATTGGGGGGTTTCGAGCATTGTTTTGTTAACATATTACATCTCAAATTGTTGAAAAGAAAATGAAAACGTTGAAAACTATTAGTTGACTAATTGTTGTTTCATTCTGATTTGATAAGTCCATGTGATGTCATTTCACCAAAATATTGTTTTTAGAGTAAACTATAATTATAATTAATTATATATACATACATGGAAATATATTTAAAAATAGTTTAAAAATATTTTTTAATTATGTGACATCACATGTGGACTTTCCACATCAATAGGAAGCATTGAGTTAATTGAGTTAATTGAACTTCCTGGTCTGTACATGGGGAAAGGGAAAGTGACAGACAATGTAACAAGGGCCATAGAAGTGGTGTTGTCTTGTAAAATAAGAAACTTCCAATTCGAGATCCAGAAAAATATCAATCCAAATCAATAAAATATTAGTCTGATTTATATTAATATGAATTCAAACTAACTTAAATATAATTATTTTTTATTTCAGATTTTAGAAAATTAATTTTATAAAATTGGATCGTTTAAATCCAAATCATCCCTATGCATCTCAATGATGAAGTTCGGTTGTTTCTGAAGATTTTAGCGGAAAAGGTTGGAGAGGATTTTGTTAAGAATGGAGTGATGGGTCTGGTATCTTAGCTACAAACTGAAATGGTTTAGGGCCTGGAAGTACGGCCTGATCTATACAGGCTTTGCTTGTTACTCTGTTCAACTTGCACGCCAGCCATTTTATTCAATGGCGGAATTTTAAAACTATACTATTTTTCTCATATAGGTACTCAAACTTTTTTTTTTTGAATTATCCAAATATCTAACATCACAAATATTATCACTTTAGGTGCTCGAGCTGTGACGGCCGTTAAATTCCATCTTAAGTGACATGTGTCACGAACTGATAATTTTAAAAATTTTAATTAAATAAGAAAAAACTTATATATTAAAAAACCCAAAAAATTTGAAAAAAAACTTTTTTAAAAATCTCAAACTTTAAAAACTCTAATTTCAATCCCTAAACCCACGCTGCTATCGTCGTTTGACGTCAAACAGGCCTCCGCCAAAATCTCCACCCTGCGACAAGCCAAACCTAACCATAAACGTCGCGTCTCCGACAAAGGAAACATCAAAATCGCGACCCAAAACTTCGTCTCCAGCAAACTCAAACCCCAAATTCATGACACCTAAGCGATCCAACGATGCGTTTGACAGTAAGTGAGATAACGAATGACCAGGGAGATGGCAAGGGAAGCGTCGACGACAACGACCATGACCAATAAGGGAAATTAGGGTTAAGGATTTGAATTTAGATTTTTAGGGGTTTGAGGATTTTTTATAATTTTAGAAAAATTGGTGTTTTTATAAATATAATTATTTTTAACTTTTTAAAAACCTTTTAAAATTACGAAAATTTGACAAGTGTTGCTTAACGAAATTTATTAACGACTGTTATATTCTGAACACCTAAAATAATAACAATTATAAAATTAGGCACCTAGATGATTAAAAAAAAACGTTTGAACATCTATTATGAAGAAGTTGTATAACTTTGGCACTTATTTTATACTTAACGATTATTCTAATTTAACACGTGGAAGCATCACAGTCATTATCACAACTACATCAGTGATCACGTGGTAAAATTAAAAATATTAATATATTAAGGAATTAATTAGTAATAAAATTTAAAGGGGAGGGGGTGGGAATCATTATGTTTTGAGTGCTTGACGAGGAGATCACGTGGAAAATATGTGCCTCAGTCGGGCGTAGGTCAGGGTAGACCCCAATTGGGCCCTAAGGTTCGGTTTGGAAAATACAGCATTAAGGTCCTTGTCGTTTTTTGGGACAGCTGGCTCTTGAAACGCGGTCACATACATCTGCTTCACAGACACTCGAAGTCAACCAGTTAATCAGGTCCACTGTTTTCTTGTAATGCTAGTTAGACCAATCATAGGGATAATCCATTCTTTTCTTTTCTGTTCTCCAACTCCCTCTCAATGTAAATTTTAACCACTTCATTTATAAAAAAAATGGTAAATTACATTATCATTGAACTTTTAGGGTATTATTATTTTTGTTACCAAACTTTTAAATTTTGTATTATAATCACCAACCTTCTAAAACTTATAGTTTACGTGTGATATACAAATGGCAGCCACCGCTTGGATAAAATAACATTATGACGTTCTTTCACAATCACAATCATAAATAGCAGCAGGTAAATAATATAGAAATAAATAAGGAAGTACAGAAAACGAAGAGGAAAGAAAAATTATTCACCTCGATTTTCTGAAGTTTTATTTTAAATTGATTAGACGTTAGTGACATATCATACCATTATAGTTTAGTTTCGATTAAGAATTGAAAAAAATTAAAAGATATTTAGACAAGTTTAAAAAGAAGGAATGAAAGAGACGAACAGGAGGAATAATTCGATTATCTTTTCAATCAAAGAAACCTCAAAATGATGAAAAAACTACAACAAAAGGAAGAATAATGAATGACAATTTGAAAGAAATTTGAGATTTTTAACGTGCCACATTATCTCTTTTCAATGGTAACTACAGTAATAAAATTGATTTAAAAATTCAATCACTCCAGTACAAATTTAGCAATTCAGCGGTCAAATTGAAAGTATCTTAAAAATTTAGTAGCACTAATTTAATTTATCCTAAAAAAACATATATGAAATAGTGGATGCTCAAATGAAAGGCTTTTTTATTTAAAGAAAACCTCAAAATTCATTTATTAGACAAATAACCCCAAACAATATTAATTAAAAAAATCTCCTCAAACTATACACGTAGGACCACCTCGCATCCTACAGAATGCGTGTAAAGACCTCACATTTCACAACCCACGAGACTCTTCCAACGTGGAAACACTTTTTAGAGAATACAATTTAATATTAGGTTAAACGACCTCATGTTCCACAAAATGTAAGGTACACGAGAAATTGAAACGTTTCAGCAATTTATCACGGGTAGTATTTAACAAACCTTGTATACATTTCCAGCCCACATAACAAGTGTTTATAGGCATGTTCGAGTAGTATTTTCGGGTAGTTAATCTAAATTTTTTTTCGTAGTTTATAAGATTAGAGGCGTAATATTAGAATTTATCTTTCAATTGAGGTTAATATCGACACATACGTGATATTGTAAGCATGTTAAAAATCATGTTGAAAATGGTTCCAAAGCTTGTTTTGTGCATGAAAAAAAACTAAAATGGTTTGATATGCATATTCGAGGGTTTTTTTTTGGATAGTTAATCTTAAATTTTTCGTAATTTCTACGATTAGAGGCGTAGTATTGTAACTTATCTTTCAGTTGAGGGTAATATCGACATATACAAAACATTGTAAATGAGGTAAAAATCGTGTTCAAAATGGTTCCAAACCTTGGTTTTGTGCCCGAAGAAAAGGCTAACATGGCTTGATAGGCATGTTCGGGAAGCATTCTCGAAAAATTAATCAAAAATTTTTCTTAATTTATAAGATTAAAGGCGTAGTATTGGTACTTATGTTTCAATTAAGTCTAGTATCAACACATACAAGATATTCTAAGTGGTGTAAAAATCGCGTTGAAAAATGGTTCAAAACAAAAGGAAATTAAAACTAACGAATATATTTTGTTAATTACAAAAATAGTACAATGAAAAAGCATAATTAATCGATACGAGGGTGCGATCGATTAGGACATTTGTTCTTTATGTTCCAACATTCCTACAGATAGTGCATAGCTTTGCCTGTCAGGTTCTTTCTTAATATTCAACCAAATCCTCATCATAGTAAATCTACATTAATCGTGTACGGTCCCTTTTTTTCATGTCGTAGTGCAAAATCTGATCGTATTGTAGGTTCATCATCAACTTTGTTCGGATCCCTTTCATTTCCAATGGGAGGAAACTCTTATTGATAAATATTGTATACGATTTCAAATAAGTATACCGGATCAATGAATTATATGTATTGAATCTGTACAAAAGAACAAGTAGCAATGACGTGTGCACGAGGGTATATGAATATTTGGAATACTCCGTAGTCGCAAGTTATTTCTCATAGATTAACCACATAGTGTTGTGCTTTATGCCTTTCAATCACATCGAATATTCTAAAACACGATTTTTTTTTTGTTCGCGATATACACGTGTCAGGGGTGTTCAAATGGGTAATTATGTTAACCGACCGAACCGAACCAAATTACCCAAATTCCATTAACCAAATTTTTTCTTCATTAACCGTTAACTGAACTGAAAGTTTTCTAAAAAATTTAACCGAATTAACCAAATTGATCGATTAACCGAATTAATCGAAATTTATAAATAAATATTATATATTATATATTATATATTTTTTAGTTAATTTGGTCTATTAATTCGGTAAAACCCGAGTTTAAACACCCTTAAAGCTAAATAATATATATAATATATTAAATATTTAATAATTTTGGTTAATTAATCGATTTTGAACCGAATTAACCAAATCTAAAAACAAATCATTAACCGTTAACCGACTGAACCCAAAATTAACTGGTCGATTAACAGACCGAAATTTTGGTTCGATCGGTTAATTCGATTTTAACCAAACAGCGAACACCCCTACACGTGTCACATTTGTCGCATTTGAATGATGCATAAAAGTTTGTAATTTTGTGTAAAGGTCTTGGTGGACTATATGGCCACCTGTCTTCCAGTCAACTGCTTACTTTTCCAAGTTTGCAAATAGGGTTGTCAGCCGATAATATGTCGATTTGACAATAAAAGTCATAGGTTAATGTCATACTCCCTTAAGTGATGAATTGATTGTCTCAACCAAGTTCATTGTCATGGAATCATATCATCTACCCCTAATAAACGATCGAAGTCATTTCTCTATCATGGTTTTAGCAATATAGTTTTAGCCTTGTTTATTCATGTTTCTCAATTCTTGAAACAACTCTTTAACCTCAAGTATAGAATGTGACTGGCCTACACATTAAAATGTAACAGTTAATTAGAAATAATAAATGAAAAGATATCTTAAAACCTAAAAGATTGAGTGAAAGATGTACCCATTTGAAGCACCATTATGCATTCATCTTTGGTCTTGAACTTTTAAAAATAATTTGTAACAATGTACTGTAAACAGTACCAGTGATAAATATTAAGAGGTTGCTAAGAAAGTCACATACACTGGATTGCGTATTTGATCCCTATACCTCTCTTAGAAATAATACATATTGTTGAAAACATTTTTGGTGTTTCGATATAACAAATTAAGTTTAAAAGAATTTTAAGATTTTACAAGTGATTTTCTAAGTATATTCGATTTAATTAATCGAATATCAAATTATTACTCCAAGTCTTTCAAGATCAATTTCAAACCTTACTAAAAGTGTAAAATTGTGTTTTATACTTAATATATTTTTGAAACAATTTTCACAAAGTATTTTTGAACCAAAATCAAGCCTAAAATCAATTTTTCAAAGTGATACACCGATGCACCAATCCATGCATCGATGCACCATGGAATAAATTGAACATCGAATGCATTTCATGCCTCGATGCACACACCATGCATCGATGCACTGGGGATTTTATGAAAACATCGAATGCATTTGATGCATCAGCCATGCATCGATGCACTCTGGCTATTTTGAAACATCGAATGCACTTGATGCATCAATGCACTCTTAGTGCACCGATGCACTAAGGGTCCAACGGTCAAAATATTTGAATTTTACACTGATGCACCGATGCACCATGGGTATGCATCGATGCACTGACGCTCCCAACTGAATTTAATTAATTATTTTCACACTTAAACGACTCTATTGAGTCCACTAAGCATCCCCAACGTTCAAAATCATTTGAAGGTGTATTTAAACAAGCTTAGAAGCCATTGATCAATAAAAAAACAATCAACAAGAATCAAGAGAGAATCAAAGAAAAAGCATCAAACCTCAAGTTTGAGCATTTTCAAGCCTATTTCATTCAATGTTTATTTTTGCTTTCAAGAACACTTATTGTGCTCAATTGTATTATTCTCGAGTGTTCTTTCTTTGTTCTAGAATTGTGCAAACATCTTGCCTTGTGAGGATTTTCTTGTAAGTTTGCAAAATTTGTATTATTCTCTTTGGGAGAGAGTGTCTCAAGAATTTGTGGTATAATTCTTGAGGGTTTTGTAAGGTTACTCTTTGTCCTCAAAAGAAAGACAAATTAGTGAATTTATGGAAAATCCTTAGTGTAGACTTTGGTTGAGACTAAGGTAGTGGCACTCGACCAAATAAGGTAGTGGACGTAGACTTTGGTTGAGAAAGTCGAACAACTTTAAATCATTGTGCAAATCTTTTCAATTTTCTGTAAAGCTTCCACCGAAATTTTTATTTGCCAATTCACCCCCTCTTGGCCAACTCCATCGATCGATTAACTCAAGAATTGGTATCAGAGCCTCACTCATTTGAAGGTTTAATCGCCTCTTGAGTCGATCCGGGAAGAGTTACATCGATTTTCACAGTCATAAATGGCCGACACTTCAAACTCTGACTTCTTTCTCGATTCGATGCCCGTCAACAAGCCTCCTTTCTTCAATGGAGCTAACTATGCCTATTGGAAAAATAGGATGATGTATTTCATTCAAGCAAGTGACATGGGAGCTTGTAATGTTGTAGAAGACGGATATATCAAGCCTCTCACTCATCCAAGATTGTGGAGCGAAGGAGAGACGAAAATGTTCCAGCTCAACTCCAAAGCCCTCCATATCATATTGTGTGCTCTTGGACCAGATGAATATAGAAGAGTTTCATCTTGTACAACCACCAAAGAAATATGGGATAAACTACAAGTCACTCATGAAGGCACCGACGAGGTAAAAGAATATAAAATTAGTCTTCTAACACATAGCTATGAAAATTTCAGGATGAAACCAAATGAAGATATCAAAGCTATGACGGATAGATTCTCAACGATTATCAATGGTCTCAAATCATATGGAGAGATTATTCCAAACGAAAAGCTTGTGAGGAAGTTAGTTTACTCACTTCCAAAATCATGGCAATCCAAGAAGACTACAATCATCGAGGCTAAGAACCTAAAGTCCTTAACTCTTGAAGAGCTAATCGATTCCCTCCTCACTCATGAAATGATGCTTTAAGATAAGGTGGACCTCAATAAGATTGATGTGACACCAAAGGAGAAGGAGAAGAAGAAAAACATTGGAGTTGCTCTCAAATCCACAAAAGATGAGAGTGATTCGAATGAAGATGACGATGACGATGACGAGGAAATGACATTGTTTGCCAAACGGTTCAGAAAAATGATGAGACCTTACCGAGGAAGAAAATTCAAACGAAATGAAGGCCTAAAAAATGAACCAAAAGAGAAGGACCCTATCATTTTTTATGAATGCAAAAAGTTGGGGCATGTCAAATATGATTGCCCACAATTGAAAAGAAAGGTCAATCAAAGAATAAGCACAAGGCTCATGTGGCTACATGGAGCAATGAAGAGGGTTCTGATGAAGAGGAACAAGAAGTAGCAAACTTGTGCTTGATGGTATTCGGGGAAGATTCTAAGGTAACCTCTAACTCATCTGAATTAGATGATTTATCTTATGATGAGTTATTAGAGGAATATAATGGGTTGGCCTCAGATTATGAGAAATTATTTTTAAAATATAAAAATGATGTCTCAAAATTGAAAAATGAAAATAAGCTTATATCCAAGACCAACAATGATTTTGAAAGTAAAATCAAAGATTTGCAAATCAAACTAGAAGAGTTTGAAAAGAAAAATTCAGATTTGCAAAATTTACTTTCAAAGGTCAATGATGATCATCAAAAGCAAATTGACGATCTTAAAGCTTCTTTTGATAAAGTTTGAACAAAACGTTTTGAAAATGGAGAAAATTCAAAATCCAACTTTGTTAGAAAAAGTTTTAAAAACTACAATCATAGAGGTTCCCGAAGAACCTCTAATGGAAAAATCGTTAGAAGTATATGGGTTTCTAAAGAACTCATTACTACTAAAGATAAAGATATCCTACACAAATGGATACCTAAGGGGACTAGGATTTTGGAAACTAATGAATATGGACCCAAAAGAATTTGGGTACCAAAAATTAGAAATTAATTTATGTTTGTAGGAAAAGAGCATTGCTACAAGACACGGGAAACAAATTCAAACTCATGGTACCTTGATAGTGGATGCTCAAGACACATGACCGGAGACAAAAGCTGGTTCATAGAGCTTAACGCCAAAAATAGAGGAAAAATGACTTTTTTTTATAATTCAAAAGGTCACATCGAAGGTATAGGTACCATAGGTAATACCTCTTCCATACAAATTAAAAATGTTTTATATGTGAATGGATTAAAGCATAATCTCGTAAGTATTAGTTAATTATTGATAAAGGATTCAATGTCATGTTTGAAACTAATGGTTGTAAAGTTATTGACATTGCATCTAATCAGATTATGCTTGTTGGTCATAGAATAGGAAATATATACATGGTGCATTTAGACTCTATTGATATGACTAATTTATGCCTAGTTGCTAAGGATGAGTATTATAGTTGGTTATGACATATGAAACTAGGACGTGCTAGTATGAGTGTTTTGCAACGGCTAATTCAAGGAAATTTAGAAAAATCGAATTTCTTGTGCTGCTTGTGCTAAAGGAAAACAAAATCGAATTTCTTTTAAATCCATTAATGATGTATCAACTAGTAGAGTATTACAATTGATTCATATAGATCTTTTTGGGCCAACTAAGACTACTAGCTTGGGTGGAAAATAATATGCATTTATCTTAGTAGATGACTATTCTAGATATACTTGGGTTCTATTCTTAAGTACTAAACATGAAGCATTAGAAAAATTCATCACGTTTTCA